CAGAAATTTCTCCCTGGTTGTTGACAGCCTTGAGGTAACCAATGCCCTGCACAAGTGATAAGCAAGTACAGCTAGACATTCACCGGTCTGCTTCTTTGTCTCTGAAACCCATGGACAATGCACCCTGCATCAGGCTACAACTGTCTGTTCCGTCTCCTAAAGTAAACATTACTGATTTGGTTTGATTTTTTTGTTTTTGTTTTTGAGTGTGTGTAGCAAACACAAAGAAGTCAGAAGTTCTCTGCATAATACCTAGAAATATGTAAGAAATATTTCTTCGGCAGTATAGAAGGCTTGTAATAAAAAGTGGTGTGGCAGTGCAGGGCAATCATAATTAGTACCGATAGGAACACTTTCCATTTGTCACGTGGTGTGTCTGTCCAGTCATATCTGGTTTTGGTCTTGCATCAGATGAGACAGAAGAAAAGGCTTTTCTCGTTCTCTCAAAGAATCACATTTTATTTCTCAAGCAGAAATCATTGGTTGTACTTTAAAGCCTCAGAAAGTTGGATTTGTATTTCTTTTTTGTCTTAAATAGGCAGATACTTGATTACGAGCCCATTTTAACAATATACAGTGCTAAAGCAGACAATGAAAGAAAAGTCAAATATGTAGAGTTAAACATAACCTCGACTACCGAGTCTGTGTTATCCATGGACGACAGCCCAGTTAATAAATGTTTGCTCACTGGGATGCTGGACTGGAAGTTAATGGTGAAACACATCTACAACGTACTCCAGGTGCTCAAGACAAGCAGACAGATCACAACCATAATGGCAGTGGCATACACAGAATGTACCTATACAGGAGTCGTATCAGTCCAGCTTGGGTTTTCCTCTTCACTAGCCCAGGTGCAAATACTTTGTGAGCAAAGAAATCTGGGCAGGGAGAAGACTGGTTCAAGTTTTAGATACGCTGTTTGAAAAGGGTGCTTGCTACTGGCAGGGGGTTTATATACAGAAATGGGAAGAGGGGAAAGATGAAAGAGGAAGGATTTTGGCAGAGGCTGTAGTTCAGGCATGCAGAACAGATATCCTAGTCCACATAATCATTAAAGTGTGTCCGCTTGCTAGACTTGCTACGTATCTCTCTCTGGTTAGTTTTCTGTCTTAAATGTAAATGACATAGTATTGCCTTTAGACTTTGTGAGTCACTAGACCAGAGCCAAAAAGAGTTCAAATATAAAAAATATGTTTTGTTACATTTGCCGTTAAAGGAACAGTCTTACCCTAAGAGAGCCGAAGCCTGAATTGTTTCCATAGTAGTTTTCTCCTCCTTTTCCACATTTGCTCACATTTTGTTAACTGGATCGAGCGAAAAATTAGGGAGAGGGTGGCAGAACTGAACACAAGTAATTTCTTTACTTGCTGTCAGCCCATCCAAAAAAGCCTTGACGAAAATATACAGGAAGATCCACAATTCTCCATTCCTGCACCAGAAAAATCCTAAAATATATGACCTTGTGATGGTTAAAAGCTAGCCGAGAGCCAAAGCTGGGCAATGTTTTTATCCCAGTTCAGCCATGTCATGGGTCATGTGGTTCGGCATGTGAACAGGAAGGTGAGAAAGGGTGAACTTTTGCCTCAGTTGTGCAGTCCATCAGAGAATAAATGGAGCAAATCACTCCGCAGCTGGATCGGGAGGTGAACGGCTGAATACCTCTCACACAGAGGCCTTTGTGTTCTGGACATGATCTAGCATTATGATGGGACACACTAGGCTGGGGCTTTGTAGCAATTACTAACCCATTATCACGCTAGAACATGAGATCATTTATCTTCTAATTCAGAGTGTCACCTGTTCTTCATTTGCCAGTCAATAACCATTAATTACTTTCAGTGGAAATTTAAACAAAGCTTTTCCCCTCTGTTAAAACCAGTAAGCCATTCGGTAATGACAAATAAACCTGGAGCTGCGTCTCCCCCCCCCCTTTCCTCTCATTCTCAGCCCGGAGTCTGGTACAATATGAACTCTTCAAGGAAATGCCTAGAAAAGCGTGGAGCTGCTGCTTGTACACGGATGGCTCACTGGTTGTCCCGGGCTGTACCTGCGGAAAGAAAGATTTGGACACGGAGCTCGTTCAAAGATTTTCTGTCTCCTGGCTTGCCTTTGCATTTTTTCATGCAGACCCGTTCAAAGCAACAGCGTTTGGTTGCCTTCCTCAAAGCAAAACAGAACTATCGCTTTCTTTGTGTGTAATTTTTAGCACGTTCATTTCTTTCATACCTGATTTGATTGAGGTAGCTGCAAGTGCCAACGATTGTGAACGCCAGAAAAAATAAAAGACCCAGCAGTGATAGATTCTCAAGTAATCATTAATCTAAACATTCTTTCCTGGTAGGAGTTGAGGCAAAAATTGCTTTTAGCAACTCTGCATTGTTTGATCATGGCTAAGTTGACCCTGTAGAAGTTTACTGCGGTTTAAATTCTATTTCTGAGATGGTGATTGCTTGCTCTTTGAAAAGGTGGACAGAGTTGGTGCATCCAAATGCGTAAAAGTTGGTGGGACCAATTGTCGGAGGCTGTTTTTTCGTTAGTGCTTTGTAGCTGTCTCCTTCAACGTAGTGCGTGTTTTAGAGTAAAGAGAAACTTCCAGTGCTGTTCTATATTAATACACAAAATTAAAGTGTAAATATTTTAAATACTTACTGGATTGCTGAATGTCTCAGCGTAAGCACCCACGCTAAAATTATGTCCGATGAATTACAGTACTGAGGTGTACACAAGTGGAGGGATGGCAAAAAATTATCCGAAGTCTGATTCTGCTTCTACTTAGACATTTTAATACTGCTTTAAAAAATGCGTAGTAAATAGCAGGTCCTTATGCTGATGTTGCATGTAGGGTCAACCTGTGTGGCCTTTGGGGGTGGGGGGTGACTTTTACCTCTGTCAAGGTGTAACTGACACTACACCGTGGTGTACGTTTCAAACAAAGCAAGGAGACCTTGAATTCATTATGTACAGCAAACATCCACTGAAGTCAGGAGGAGAACCACTGTAAATTCTGACTCTGACTGACTGTCTAATCTTGGAAATACTTCTTCACTCACGTAGTGCCTCCTTATATGAGGAAGATTGTTGTTCTCAGCTGGGCTGCTTAATGAAAGCTGAAGGGCTGCGAAATCAGGGTCTAGGCTAAGAGAACCAGAACTATCAATTACTTATTTCAGATATTCCTTGTACCTTTCTGGGAAGCCACTACTGCTGTGAATCCTGCAAGCTCGTCCAGTCGTGATTTATGGCGACCTCTCGAATCAGCAGGGAAACCCCAGTGTTCCAAGAAAGCTCATATGAAAGATACAAGTTAAGACGTCTCCTCCCCACAAGAGGAGTTTCATCAGCCAGTTGGGTGTTTCTGCGTCATTGGCTAGGATGTTCAACCCTGGAAAGGAAAAAGAAAATTGCTGCCATTGTCCTACCCAGCAGGTCATATCCCTAAAGCACAATTAATGTCACGGACTTACACAGCAGTTGCCCAAAACCCAGCCTTCCATGCACGTTCAAGAAGCAAAAAGGTTCAAAAGGAACATGTTAATAAAATCTTGTCAAAACTTTGGAAGATGCATAAAATAATAACTGTGAAGAAAAATGACTTGCATATAGAACCATTTAAGTGGAATATCGCCTTGTTATGTTGGACACCGATTTATTAAGAATAGGGGGGGGGAAATTGAATATTTCAGGTGGTATTTACCAAGAGAATCTGAGCTGTCCCAAAGCTTTTATTAATCTAATTTGCAGAGTATCCACTACTATCAAGGGACCTACTAAAGTTGTTTTCTTAAAAGCTAATGTGAAGAGGTCAATGCAAATATCATTGTGGATTACACTGTGAGAAGATGACAGTCCGTTTTACCATATGGAGAGAAAGTTGAATTATTTTGTTTTCCTTTTCTGGTTATTTATTAAAAGAGGATCATGCCGTACAGGTATTGCCTTTTCCTCTCCAAAGGAAATGAAGTGTTTACATCATTTTGATTGATCCAAAGAAATAATTATTCTGTTCACCTACAGCTCTTAGGCAGTCAAATAGTCCAGTCTCTAGAGCAGCAGCCTGCACATCAGAAAACTGAACTGTACCTGCCGTGATGCCTCAGCCAGGTCACACGTGTCTTTGCGTGCCTGTTGCATCTGCTTTCATGGTGCCCTAACTGGCCAGCCCTCTGAGATGGTGTTCATCCATCAATACTTGTTGGTGGGAGAGGATTCTCTGACAGACACTGCTGTGGAGAGTAAACCTGCTCCCCGGAAAGGCAAATTCCTTGACAATCCCATGAAGTTTTGCTTCCAAACCTGTTGCGATTTTTGCGGCTGCACAAACCGTCCTCTGAAAGAGGGGTTAACAGTTGGCTCGCTTTTCTACCGGTGTTTTCTGTGTTCCTGTGTCGAAAGAAAAAGTTTCTGCTACAATGTTTTATTACGTAATATTCAGTAGGAAAACAGATTGATTTGGCCAAATACAGTGTTGACTATTCTTAGTTACCTTTTTAATTGCTCACTCTTAATTAAAATCTCAACTTAGCCAAAACAAAAGTGACAGAAGAAAGACCCAAAAGGATCGATATTTTCATGATTCAATGTGTTTGACGTCATTCTGTGACAGACAGACAACAGCACTCTGGACTGAAACGTGACAAAATTTTGTTCTTTTCCCCATATCTGTGTCAATTCATGCAGTGCTTTAAACAAGTGAATCCGTGCTCTTGAGCACTAAACCGAGTCTCAGTATTCAAAAGTAAACATATTAAAGTCCCCCCTGCAGAAACCCCTGCTGTGAAACAAATTGAAAATCAAATACAGCACTGTTTTCTATAATAAGAAATAATTGAACTCTTTTCAGAGTTGCACTGAACTGGTTAATAGCCACCATATTCAGAAAGTGCTGATTTCCCCAGTTTGGGGTGTGTGTGTGTAGTTATTTCCAATTCAGAAATGCAGTAATATGACAAATGAAAGAGGCCACTTCCACGGGGACTGAATCTGACTTTGTCTTTCCGCAGGCCATGTGGCTGATGCTGCAAACGGATGAGCCCGAGGACTTTGTCATCGCCACTGGGGAGGTCCATAGCGTCCGTGAATTTGTGGAGAAGTCGTTTAAGCACATTGGGAAAACCATTGTGTAAGTACGAACGTGAGATAGCAGCCGTGGGTTGAACGTTTCTAGCCTGCTGTGTCTGCTGTGTTACAGAGTATTGTTTCTCTACATTCTTCTTTTTTCCCCCCTCACTTTCTGATTTTGTAACACGTGAGACCTGCTGAGCATGAATGACTGCCACAGCAGATAACCTCTAGTGTTGCCCTCCAGGTCATAAGAAGAAAATGTAGGCAGGTACATCTTAATTTTTTATTCCAAGTCTTCGTTCTCTGTTCTCCCATTCACTCCCGACTTTGGGGGACAGATGCCCTTCCGAAGATGTCAGTACCAGGATGCTGTTCATCACCCTGTTGCAAAAGGGTTTTTTGAGTCTCCTTCTCTGGAGATATTCAAGCCCCCCCTGGACGTGGTCCTGTGCAGCCTGCTGTAGGTGACCCTGCTTCGGCAGGGGGTTGGACTGGGTGACCCACAGAGGTCCCTTCCAACCCCGACCATTCTGTGATTCTCTGCTGTGTGCCCCCAGATCCCCACAGTCCTGCCCCCACCCTCTGTGATCTCAAGAGGTGACACCTGCCAGCTCTGTTCTTTCCATGTGACAACCCATCAGCCACACCGCAAAGATTCTGTAGCAGCGCGCTCCACATTCCTAGTAGCTCTTCTCCAACTAAGCCATAAAAATGTTGAGCAGTGGGTGCAGAATGTTTACAATGCATATTCCACATAGTTTGATTGAAAATACAAAAATTCCTTCTCAAGACCGTATAATAAAACCAGGATGGCTTGGTGAGCGCTTTCTGTAATTTATATTTTTATTGTTTATTATTTTTTCAATTTCCCTCCTTCTGTATCTTCTCTGGGCCCCATGCATCAACATACCGATCTCAGCTGGAAAAGGGAGAGGAAAGCCACAGGCTCTTCCATGACGCTAGCGCCGGGGCTGTTCCTCAGGCCATCAAAGTCACTTGTGCAGCTGGTGAACTTTTGACAGGGCCAATAAGTTTTACTTGGGAACAAAAACTTGACAAATTCAATAAATACGCAGAAGTGCACAGATATATACAATATTATTTGAACAGCCAGTGGGTGGCTAGGGAGGTAATAACATTTTCTCCTCAATGAGTTTTTAGTCTGGTTTCAATTTTTGGCATCGATTTCCAGAAAAATTCTGATGGAGAGAGAGACTGTATAAACAGAATTTCTACCCCAGAAGCTCAGGTTTGGGAACAAGTTTTTCTCCATATTTTTAGCATCTCTTGATAGCGAGATAGCCCGGTATCATCACACATTGTCCCATATGCCTTAATAATAGTGAGGTTTGTCACAGTAAAGGGGAGGGAGTAGGAGCTCTAGTAATTGCTTTGTCTTTCTTATTTTTTTCTCCTTTTTCTGTACTTTTATTCCTTGTGTTTGTAAGCTATTTCTCCCTAGTAAGCGTTGAAACAAATCTGCTGTGGATTCGTTTGCTCCGTAGAAGAAGTAATTTTTGTGATTTTGAGAACCATTTTGTCCCTGTCTGGGGTTGTTTGCAAAAGCAAAAATGAATGTTTGGTGAGCAACTATTTTTTTTTAAATTTTGATTACCTAAAACTAGAAACTGAAACGTATAGGTCAGTAGCTAGTTGAATGTCTTTGTTTGCAGGTATTCTGAACATTGCACTTTCTGTAGATGTCAATAAATTCATCCAGCAGTTTAAAATTAAGCTCCCTGCTTTGGTGCCGGCCTAAGAAGTCCCAGCATTTCCCAAGACTGACAAATCAGCATTTATTTTTTAGAAAGCAGATTAAACCCTCAAGAAAACCTAATGAAAAGAGCAACAATTACACAAACCAAAGTAAAAGTACTTTTATGAATAGCCTCTATTGCAGGGAGGATATTAAAGGCTTACTTTAGCTTTAGTTGGTCCTAGCACACAAGGTTTTGTGTCCTGTTTGTTTGAATTTTTGCTCACATGTGGCTCCATACGGGGGGCTGCGTATCATTCAAGCTGGCGATTACTGCCATCAGTGTTTGGATCGAATCAATCAGTCACAAGTTTCTCTCCCAGGGAAACTTTCCCGTATGAGCCCAAGTGATGAGGTAGGACAGGTAGATTGTGTGTGCAAAGGTATAGTTGCATTTTTTTTTTACTGATCCATAAAAGTAATTTCAAAAATTGTACAAGAATTGACATGACATCAAATGATGTGGATTTTTAGGAACCTAAATTGCTTTAGAAACAAGGCTTGGGCTGCTAATCCCCATGGCTCTTCTGAAATTTTTATTTACGGTGAATAAATTTTGAATTCCTCAAGCCATTTACAGGTGATGTATAAATAGCTAAACATATGAGAACTGAGGTGGCATTTTAGGTGCTAACGATAATTTTGTTGCTGATCATTTTGACAGTGGTGTAATTCTGTTTGTTTCAGATATAGTAGAGTCAGATAAGCCAGCTATTCGTTCCCCTTGCTCCCAGGACAGGGGTAGTATCACGACAGACCCACTACTCATCCTGTAGCCTTCGCTCATCTTTCAAATTGCACTAGATGTAAAATATTTCTCAGGATTTGGAAAGTTTTGTGAAGAACTTCCATAATTTTTCTAGGTGTCAGCCTGACCTATGCTTTTGCAGCACACACGCTCTCCCTCCTTCCCCTCGCTGGCTTGGCCAGCCGGCTGGTAACCTCTCACATTCTTTGAAACCCCCAAGGGCTTTCTGCTCCCACCTCCTCCAGTTTGCATATATCTTCTTCAGGGAGTAGCCTGGCAGCAAAATCCTCCCCTTTAGCATTGTGGGACCCCACTGGTGAGTCTCATTGATCTGTTTCTTCACAATTTATGAGGCACCTAAGAACCAGCCCACCAGAGTGCAATTGCTAAACGGGTTCCTGTGAGGCCAGCTGCTTTCCTCCTATCTCCCTTCCTCGAAGTTTGGTGGAGTTTTTTGGTTGATTGGAGGGGGGGGGGGTTTGCAGGGTGGTAGATATTACAAAATTTTGCAATCTCAAAAATTGATCTGGGAAATTTCCGTTTTTTCACTGCTGTAAGTGATGGCACAGCTTCCCAGTATCGCTGTGCAATGTGCCTTGCAAAATTGATGGCACGATGGAGTAAATGGCCAGGAGGGATGTCGTGGTGAGCAGCAGCTGGCAGAGCTCGTAGCGAATCTGAGAACGCAGGGCACGTGTGCAGGGGCTCTTAACTATCCCAACTTTGTGCCTTGGCAGGGAAAGCTGCAAATGTGACAGTCTTAGCTGTCACATCTTGGGATTGCAATAGAGAACAGGAAGAAAAGCAACTCTGGCTGCTCCATCAACCAGCTGAAAATATTTCTGTTATTTTTTTAGGTTTCTTTCTTCCTAACAATTCATATTATACAGCTGAAAATCCAGGACAGCCTAAAAAGTCTTTCCAAGAAGATAACATAATACTCTGTCATAGCCAGTCATTAGCGCTTGTCAGGACTAAGTCTTCTAGCCAAAATGAGAGAGAGAGAAAATTTACTACATTTTTGTAACCAATGAAATGTACAGCTGCAATACAACTGATTCTCTCTCTGAAATTGACTGTAAAGTGTACACAGACTTTTATCTAACATTCATTTTTTAAGGGAGAAATTGGAAATTGTATTTATATAGTTGTCTGAATCATTCAAATTCAGTCCTTTGTACTAACAGGAAAGCCTCAGAGCTACAAATACTTTCCCCCTGTAAGGATTATACTTTTTTTCTTTTACTTTCCCTTCTACTTATTACTAATTAAGCAGTACTTGGGGGAAACACTTCCCACCTATAATTTGAACTACAGCAGGGTAAACGAAACAGGCAAACGCTTGTCTTGACTAATTTTCTGTCATTAATCTTATTAAATTAGAACAGGATTGCGAAGATAGCCTGCAACCACGACAGCACTCAGAGTTCTTTGCAGAGTGCTACAAAGACTGCTGTCTGCAAATACGAGAGGAAAAAAGAAAAGGAAGAAAAAAAAAAAAAAAGAAAAAAACTGCTCAGGCAGTGGAAAGATTTATTGTGGTTTCTATTAATATAAAAATACATGCACGTTTGTTACAGAAATATTCATTGCTTCCAGGGTCAGAATTAAATCAGTAAAAATGAATATTTTACTTTAGTGATTTGGCTCTACATACAAATTTTGTCTTAATGAACATGCCATTTGGTCTCACAGACGATCACCCTAAAAAGGGGAGGTTTGCAGATAAGCTGTAAGGTCTAATGAGGTGAACTACTAGCAGCAGTGGAGCAGCGGCCTCTTCAGTGACAGGGAATGTTGAACTGAGATTGAACCAAGGAAGGAGGGGTTTTTTGGTTTGTTTTTTCTTCTTTTTACCTTAAAATGGAAGGCTGGGTTGCAGAAACACATGAGATTTGAAGGACTGCTGCAAGAGTGGAAAGCCAACAATACGTTAGCAATGGTGCCATGTAGATATGGGAGAGGAGCCATCAAAAGTCATCATCAAAACAGCTGCTTTTTCCAGGTCTGGCTTTTGCCCACCAAAAATTGCTGGCTGGCTGGTGCTACGTGTTGTATTGAACGGCTCAGCAAAATCAGAAGCTTTCAGATGAGGTGGAGGAGAACAGAATGTCATACAGAAACTGTATGCATTTCGAAGAGTGATAGTTAAAAGGAACCCAGCCAGGTCGGTGAAGAGTGCTGGCCTGGGTGAGCCCCACACGCACAAGGGTCCTCGCTTAGGACTGCACCACTTTTATCACAGTTCTCACTGTAGAGTATATGTTTTAGGGGAGCATTTAACCCACCTTAGCTGGAGAATTAACTCTTCCAGCTGAAAAGGCTTTTATTACTTTCATATTCGTACAAGGCTATGTCTGTAGGCAGATCTGATAACTGTTTCAGAACTCAAGGTCTGAAGACCATAACAATTTAACTATCTGGTTTGTACATTGTAGAGGTATGAGAGTTTCTCCTGCAGGAAGACTGGGTGAGAATTAAATCTGATGTGTCATGGGAAATTCCACAATTCCACCTCCCCTCCCCTCCCCTAGGAAATAAAAATAATTCTCAA